AATTGTGGATCTGAAGATGGTGAAGAAAGAATGACTTGACAAGATCAGAAATAAGGAAGTCTTAGAAAGATGAGAAGAGAAACATGAGGCCCCTGATATGAGAAGTTCAATAGAAAATATAAAATAATTTTGAATGGGAAAAATATTAAGAGAAAATGGGATTGATAGATAATTTCTGAAGGATAAAACGGATATAAAGAAAATATTTGGAAAAGAAGAATTGGACTGATAAACTGGAAGCTATTAAGTATTATAGATTAAGAAAGAGAATCATAGCGCCAATTTTTTAGACAATTAAAATAATTTTATTGAAATCTTGTCAATACATGCAAAAGTGCACAGTCTGTACTATTAAAAAAAAGATAATTACTATGTACAATGTACATGGCGCCTCTACCACCGCTGCAGAGTTTGGTGGAGAATCGCCAGCAGGTCTCCAGCGACACCACATATTTCACGATCTACGAAGAATAGCGCCACTAGAGACCAGTATATGGTCAAGAGTAAAGAAACTAAAGTTATAGATAGTAGAGTTTGTAATGTCTCTAAAAATCAAGCTCAATGTAAGTACCTTATGTTTTATTCCTATACAATAGAACCTCCCTTTAAAGGACACCTAATTACAGAGCCAAAGTGTCCTTTAGGGAGAGGTGTCCTCTTACCAGAGAGTTGCTAAATAGTAAAAAATGGTAATTTTGCAAATGAAAACTGTCTTTTGTAGAGAGGTATTCGCTAGAGGGGTATCTGCTAAAAGGAAGATTCTACTGTATTGCCATTTTATGAGAGAAAAAAAAAAAAGTACCTCCGGTGGGATTCGAACCCACAATCCCCGGTTTAGGAGACCGATGCCTTATCCATTAGGCCACGGAGGCATTAATGTACTACTTCTATTTACAAGTTAAAACTACTGGGGCACAGAGTGGCACGTGCAAGAGAAAAGAAGAAAAAAAAAAAACTTCTTGACCGCCTTACCAGAGCTGAGCTATTCTAGGCGAGGGTGGCACTCCACTTATCTTAGCAGACGATCTTTCAACGAGCTATTTAAAAAATCGTCTGGTTTACATACCAACTGAGAGACAAACCGCGTTCTCTCAAATTTAAAATGAAATAAATATATATATTTTTACACTTTAATTGTATTTTTTAAAGTCAAAATACGATCCATTAAATAAATTTATATAAAAAAGGGCGTACCTGTATCTGTAAAGAAAAAAACATGTTTTTTTCCCTCAAATTATACGAGAGATTGATACCTCTTTATCAATTTATCTTTCTCTCTCATAATAATATCTTAATAAATTGATAAAAAGGGAGCAATCTCTCGAAAATTTTTGATAAAAAGTTGTTGTTTTTTTCTTTACAGATCCACGTACGCCCTTTTTTTTTATATAAATTGAATTATATTTGTTTTAAAAGACTTAATTTGAAATATCTTCAGCAAATGTTGACCAAAAGATGATATTAAGAATTCCAAAATAGCTAGTGTTGTTAAAAGAACAAAACATATATATATATATATATATATATATATATATATATATATATATATATATATGTTAAAAATATATATATTTATTAAAAAAAGCACACACAAAAAATATTATTTTCATCAGACGAATCTCCCTGATGGTCGTTTGGTATGATGTCACATCCTGAAGTCAGACAGATCTCCCTGACTATTGTCATGTCGAGGAATAGCTTCAGAACAGACCTCTGCTCAGGCAACAGGTACTTGAGTATGTTCTCCCTGTTAGAGATTGAGATTCAAACACTTTTTATTGACATCTTGTCAATTAGGTTTTACAAAATAAATGAAGAATAATGGGAATATTTACAATGAGCTATGAGTAAGGAAGACTCCACCATCTTGATAGGGTCCTCCTCCAGACCAGGAGAGGGTCCTCTTGGACCCCCCGCAACTCCAGGGCCAGGAAGTATTTGTAGATGCGGGTCTTGGCAGATGCCATGATGGCCAAGGCGTTGTCCAGAGAGAGAGATATTGAGATTGAAACATATTTATTAATCGTATAAAATTATTAAAAATAAAGAAGGCATCTCTCCTGACCACGAGCACAGATGCCTTCTTTATTTTTATTATCAACACCTGACCCACTTATCTTTTATTTTTTCTATTGTTTTTTCATATAAAATTATATAGGGTTAATATATATTATTTTCATCAGACGAATCCCACTGAGGATCGTCTGGTATGATGTCACATTCCGCCCTGAAGTCAGACAGCGTTCCCCCGTAGATCGGACTTCTCCCCGACATGTACTATTGCCTTGGAATGTTGCCGAGGAATGTCGAGAAAGAGATAACTCATCCGAACACCAATCCAACAATAAATGCTATAGAAACCAAACGATACTCAGATAGAAATTAGAAATGCAAAAGTGGGAGGTACCCAGACGATGTCCCAGTTTTCCTTTTTTTACATTTGATGACGTCACAGACGTTCCTGACCTAACCTAACCAGGTTGATATTATGCTAAGAACCCACCTCATTGTTTTATGTCTGTGTACGTCCTGTTTATTCTGTATTAAGGATTTAGCAACAAATTCCCTTTATTAGAATATATACACTCATGGATAAAAGAAGTTGTACCTTTTAGCATGTATATCGGGATTCAGACAATAACTCTGAAAGATATTACAGTGACCTTTATTGAAGACACACGAGATAACCAAGTGTGAACAAAACTTAAGGAAGTTATACCTTTTAGCATGTATATCGGGATTCAGACAATAATTCTGAAAGATATTACAGTGACCTTTATTGAAGACACACGAGATAACCAAGTGTGAACAAAACTTAAGGAAGTTGTACCTTTTAGCATGTATATCGGGATTCAGACAATAATTCTGAAAGATATTACAGTGACCTTTATTGAAGACACACGAGATAACCAAGTGTGAACAAAACTTAAGGAAGTTGTACCTTTTAGCATGTATATCGGGATTCAAACAATAGCTCTGTGAAAGATATTACAGTGACCTTTATTGAAGACACACGAGATAACCAAGTATGAACAAAACTTAAGGAAGTTGTACCTTTTAGCATGTATATCGGGATTCAGACAATAACTCTGAAAGATATTACAATGACCTTTATTGAAGACGCACGAGATAACCAAGTATGAACAAAACTTAAGGAAGTTGTACCTTTTGCATGTATATCGGGATTCAGACAATAACTCTGAAAGATATTACAGTGACCTTTATTGAAGACACACGAGATAACCAAGTATGAACAAAACTTAAGGAAGTTGTACCTTTTAGCATGTATATCGGGATTCAGACAATAACTCTGAAAGATATTACAGTGACCTTTATTGAAGACACACGAGATAACCAAGTATGAACAAAACTTAAGGAAGTTGTACCTTTTAGCATGTATATCGGGATTCAGACAATAATTCTGAAAGAAATTACAGTGACCTTCATTGAAAACACACGAGATAACCAAGTATGAACAAAACTTAAGGAAATTGTACCTTTTAGCATGTATATCGGGATTCAGACAATAATTCTGAAAGATATTACAGTGACCTTTATTGAAGATACACGAGATAACCAAGTATGAACAAAACTTAAGGAAGTTGTACCTTTTAGCATGTATATCGGGATTCAGACAATAATTCTGAAAGATATTACAGTGACCTTTATTGAAGACACACGAGATAACCAAGTGTGAACAAAACTTAAGGAAGTTGTACCTTTTAGCATGTATATCGGGATTCAGACAATAACTCTGAAAGATATTACAGTGACCTTTATTGAAGACACACGAGATAACCAAGTGTGAACAAAACTTAAGGAAGTTGTACCTTTCAGCATGTATATCGGGATTCAGACAATAACTCTGAAAGATATTACAGTGACCTTTATTGAAGACACATGAGATAACCAAGTGTGAACAAAACTTAAGGAAGTTGAACCTTTTAGCATGTATATCGGGATTCAGACAATAACTCTGAAAGATATTACAGTTAACTTTATTGAAGACAACACGAGATGACCAAGTGTGAACAAAACTTAAGGAAGTTGTACCTTTTACCATGTATATCGGGATTCAGACAATAACTCTGAAAAATATTACAGTGACCTTTATTGAAGACACACGAGATGACCAAGTGTGAACAAAACTTAAGGAAGTTGTACCTTTTAGCATGTATATCGGGATTCAGACAATAACTCTGAAAGATATTACAGTAACCTTATTGAAGATACACGAGATAACCAAGTGTGAACAAAACTTAAGGAAGTTGAACCTTTCAGCATATATATCGGTATTGAGACAATAACTCTGAAAGATATTACAGTGACCTTTATTGAAGACACATGAGATAACCAAGTGTGAACAAAATTGCCTCTGTCTCCTTAAAATAAACAGACCATCAAAAACCCTCCACTTCCTTAAATTTTGTCCATGAGTGTATGGTACATTCAGAGTATGAACATTCATAAACTCCTATTTACCATGATTATCATAGTCTCTATACTATGTCCACTCAGGATACTACAACTAAACATTCTATAGAATCTTGTAGCTTTGTGGTATTTTAAGGAATCAAACATAAAAACAATATAGAAGAAGCAAAAAAAGATATTGTTAATATTTCTGAACATAGTATCAATAAGCATTAAAGTTTTTGAGAATTCGAAACTATTATAGACGTGTATGATTATTTTAAAAATTAAACAAATTTCTACTGCCCTTACTGCAATAAAAAAATTAATGGGAGGGCCCCTGGTTCATCAGTGGTGAACCCTCCCAGCGGTTTCGCCAGTTTAATCTACCATACTGCTGTTATAATACAATATAATATAATTCCGCTTGTGATTGTAAAACGACATTTGAAATTATCCCGCATGAGTTTCTTTTGAACGAAAAATCAAAATTTATTTTAAGGAGAAATAATGTTTATTTCTAACCTTAGAGGGATGAAGTATGAAAGAATGAATTGTGAAGAGTAATGATAAACGGAAAAATAAAAGTGTCCAGGGATGGGAATCGAACCCACAGTGTTCCGCTTACCGGGCAGATGCCATGTCCACTAGGCTATATTGTATTTTTCGGTTTTTCTTTTTATAGTGATACTTAAAGGTTTTATTGAGGTAAAAATCTAGAGTAAATGAAAACATGCGAATGTATCTTAAACACATATATCAAACATATGCTTCTTAATGTTTTCATTTGCTAAATATAGATGGCGCGATATTGCTTTGTAATATATACTAATGAATGATTTATATTTGCGTTTTTGAAGAATTTTCTAAAAATATATGAATCGAGCGAAATTATGACGTTTTTTAAAGATAAAAAAATCGATGTATTTTTTCCTTTTATTGACGTAGGTGTTTTTTTTTTATTAGGAACCCATTATTTGTTTAATTGGGGTTCGATGGAAAGCTGGTTAAACCGTTTGGTTTTCGACCACTACGATCTGGGTTCGATTCCCGCATTGGACACTTTTTTCTGTTTAAAAAAAAATGCTCCAATGGCCCCCGATTCTTGCAAAAGTCAAACCCCACCAGCGAGTGCAAGTAACCAAACGGGGCTCTGGCACATTTGTAAGTGCAAAGTCGAACTGCTTTTCACATGTGTAGACATGTGGTGCGCTTACAGTAAAAGCAGTCGCTAACTACCCACCATGTTTATCATGGCTTTGAGATAAGAAATAAGAAGATTTGTTTAATTTCCTCCAAATTTATTGGCTATGGAGTTTTATCATCATTATTATTGAAGCGCCTATACACTATAAATAATTTTGGAATGAAATAAACATAAGAAAGCAAAAGAGAATCTCTCTTTGCCAGCATTAATCCAGTTCCAAAATCACTTTAATAGGTATCACTCAAAAAGAGAAATCTAGGTTATGATATTTGAAACAATGAATAATATGTGTGAAGGTTATTCACATATTAAATCAAAGTATACAATACGGGATTTGATCCCGGTTCATGGCTGTCGGGAACCACTTGTCCACCAATTTTTTCCTATATTAATCATTGGTTTAAAAACATGGAAACATTTAAACAGAATATAAAACAAACCTCAGGAAAGTTCGAGAAGAATAAAGAAATGGAAGCCATGGATGGATTTCTGGAATGATGTAGAGATGACATGTGAAGACGAGGAAGGTGGAACACCGGACATGAAGCACAGGGATACGACGACCATAGAAGAGATCCTAGGATAATGACCTAGAGGACAGACAAGGATGTAAGCCTAGAGAGAGACCCGAATTTTTCAAAAGTATATATATCTAAATCCATCCATATCTTACAAGTGTACGGATACACCCAAATCTTTTGAAAAGTATATACACACACAAAGCTTTATTAAGACCACAGGTCTTATACAGATTCACCACAGGAAGAAAGGAAACATAGATGAAGCTCCTATGCTCCAGGAAGCGTAGCACCCAACAACAGCCTCCTGGTCCGACGCATGTCCAATGGCCACACGTTCCTTCGTGCATAGGTCATGGTTAGCGTATCATTGAACAGGCGAGTGTGGAATCAGCCACGTTCTAGTCTTCACTTTCCTCGTCCAAATGGACCACGGCATTTGGCAATTCTATTAATCTCCTCCGAACGGTGACTGCGGCTTTGAAAAGTATATATCTAGACTTTTGGATATGGACAAAATGTGATTCTATCTGAACAACATACACATCAAGGGAACAGAAAACCAGGGTTTGTACAACTTCTAGCCAAGTGTGTGTTTATCTCTTGCAAGGTATAGACAGAATGCGATACTCTATCTGAACAACACACCAGGGTTTGTACAACTTCTAGCCAATTGTGTGCTTATCTCTTGCAAGGTATGGACAGAATGCGATACTATCTGAACAACACCAGGGTTTGTACAGCTTCTACCCAATTGTGTGTTTATCTCTTGCAAGGTATGGACAGAATGCGATACTGTCTGAACAACATACCCATAAATGGAACAGAAAACCAGGGTTTGTACAGCTTCTAGCCAATTCTGTGTTGATATATTGCAAGGTATGGACAGAATGCGATACTATCTGAACAACACCAGGGTTTGTACAGCTTTTACCCAATTGTGTGTTTATCTCTTGCAAGGTATGGACAGAATGCGATACTATCTGAACAACACCAGGGTTTGTACAGCTTTTACCCAATTGTGTGTTTATCTCTTGCAAGGTATGGACAGAATGCGATACTGTCTGAACAACATACCCATAAATGGAACAGAAAACCAGGGTTTGTACAGCTTCTAGCCAATTGTGTGTTGATCTCTTGCAAGGTATGGACAAAATGCGATACTATCTGAACAACACCAGGGTTTGTACAACTTCTAGCCAATTGTGTCTTGATCTCTTGCAAGGTATGGACAGAATGCGATACTATCTGAACAACACTAATGACAAACCTATGAACTGTAGGCCATGTACGGAAGCTGAGAGATAGAAATTATCGTTAACCTAGCCTATAGAACGAGGGCTTCCTGCCTGAATGAGTTGCAACAATTTTATTGGCTCTGTTGGAAGTAGGACACGACTGGGATGCGTACAGCGTTTACATAAGTTGATGATGTTGCATATTCTCTTCAACAGTTCCTCATCTCTTTGTGTAGAATTGAAACTTTCTAAAGATATTTTTACATATTCTTTTCAACAGTATCAAATATTTCTAGAATATTAGAGGATTCCTGGATATTTTTACATATTTTATCCTCATTTTTGCGTAGAATTTCTAATGGTGATCTCAACATAAAAATGACGAAGTTGCATAGTTTCTTCAACAGTTCTTCGAGGGATTGGAGAAAATTTCTACCGATGATTTCAGAATGAAACTGATGATGAATTAACATATAGTATTCAACAGATTCTCGTGGGATTGAGAGAAAATTTCTCTACTGACGATTACAGGATGAAACTGATGAATTAGCATATACTATTCAACAGAATCTCATCTTTTTGGGATTGAGGAATTTATACTGGAAATTTCAACGTGAAATCGTGCTTAGCACCTTAACAAACACAAAAAAGCAAGGCTAGTAACATATAGTCATTACTAAACGAAAAGATGATATTTGTAGGGTATAGACAATTTAAATAGAAATGGTAATATTATCGATATCTAGCCAAAACTAAAAGGAATTGCGATGTTAATGACATCTAGACAATGCTAAAAAAAGTTATAATATTTGTGGCCTCTAGAAAATTCTATAAGATATATTATTGGTATAGCAATAATTTAGACAATGTGCTAAAGGAAATGATAAAACTATTGGTATCTAACCAATGCTAAAAGGAATTGTAATATTTGTGGAATCTATTAAATTCTAGAAGAAATTATAATATTTGTGGTATCTAAAAATTTCTAAAATAAAAGGGGAAATTTTCGTTATATTTAGCAAATGTTAAAAGAAATGGTAATCGTGATAATATATAGCCAATGCTAAAAAAGATATCAATCCAATGTTATAAAAGAACCCTAGCCAATGCTATAAAAGAAACCTAGCCAATGCTATAAAAGAAACCTAGCCAATGCTATAAAAGAAACCTAGCCAATGCTATAAAAGAAATCTAGTCAATGCTATAAAAGAAACCTAGCCAATGCTATAAAAGAAATCTAGTCAATGCTATAAAAGAAACCTAGCCAATGCTAAAAGAAACCTAGTCAATGCTAAAAGAAACTTAACCAATTTTATAGAAGAAATCTAACCAATGCTATAAAAGAAACCTAGCCAATGCAATAAAAGAAATCTTGTCAATGTTATAAGAAACCTAGCCAATGCTAAAAGAAACCTAGTCAATGCTAAAAGAAACTTAACCAATTTTATAGAAGAAATCTAACCAATGCTAAAAGAAACCTAGTCAATGCTAAAAGAAACTTAACCAATTTTATAGAAGAAATCTAACCAATGCTATAAAAGAAACCTAGTCAATGCTATAAAAGAAACCTAGCCAATGCTATAAAAGAAATCTTGTCAATGTTATAAAAGAAATCTAACCAATGCTAAAAGAAACCTAGTCAATGCTAAAAGAAACTTAACCAATTTTATAGAAGAAACCTAGCCAATGCTATAAAAGAAACCTAGCCAATGCTATAAAAGAAATCTAACCAATGCTATAAAAGAAACCTAGCCAATGCTATAAAAGAAACCTAGCCAATGCTATAAAATAAATCTAACCAATGCTATAAAAGAAACCTAGCCAATGCTATAAAAGAAACCTAGTCAATGCTATAAAAGAAACCTAGCCAATGCATAAAAGAAATCTTGTCAATGTTATAAGAAACCTAGCCAATGCTATAAAAGAAACTTAACCATTGTTATAAAAGAAATCTAACCAATGCTAAAAGAAATCTAACCAAAGCTATAAAAATAATCTAGTCAATGCTAAAATAAACTTAAAGAATTTAATAAAAGAAATCTAACCAATGTTAAAAGAAACTTAACCATTGTTATAAAAGAAATCTAACCAATGCTAAATTGTATTTCGCCATCCAAACCCAGATGTGTGTCACCTATCTCCTGGTTTATAAGGTTATTCCACTTGACACAGGTGCTGGATCTTCTGTTGAAATTACGTCAGTGACCATACGTCAACACTTCACCGAAATTAATCTTCTGACATCTATCCGGAGCATCATCTCCAATTCTGGATAACACCTATACACTGCGGGTGTGGAGAACATGGAAAATAAATGTAATAAATGTGGGGAAAATAACTGGTAAAGTGGGATTAAATATTTGGTAAATTTATATAAATATCATACAAATCAATAGGGTGCCATCTATATATAACGAATGAAGATGATTAATGATAAAAGCTTGACAAACCCTGCCACGCGTACATCACTATAGCATGCTCCCCAAATAATCTATTCAGGCTATTGGATCTCTCTCTCTCTCTGTTTCAGGCGGGGAGCTTGGCTGGGGCGGTACATCTGTCAAAGGGTAACGCAGGTGTCCTAAGGCGAGCTCAGCGAGGACGGAAACCTCGCGTGGAGTGAAAGGGCAAAAGCTGGCTTGATCTTGATTTTCAGTACGAATACGGACCGCGAAAGCGTGGCCTATCGATCCT